ATGTTTATAACTTAGTCCAAAGGTAATTTTGGCCCACTTTGCTTAGGAATGATAACTCGCCCAACCATGACCCAATATCAATGAATGATATACCATTAGAAAGAGGAGACACATGGCTTTATGGTACATTGAATGGAATCAATGGTGTTATTACTTGTTTTGTGCTTTTCCAAGATAACAATCTGTTGCGTTTTTTTTGATACGCACTGTATATACTTTTCTCTATATTGTTTTAGAAAACACATCGAACACTTCTTTTGTTCTTGGTATCATATGTTCGGAATGAAATGAAACATCTATCCGAACCTCATTGGAACAAAATGACATAAATGTTGTGTTTATGTCTCTCAATATTGTAATTATACAAAGGAAAGTTTAGTTGATTGAAAAAAGTATCTTGTTTATGAAATTAACGTTTACCTTAGTTTTTATCTATTTCAGGGGTTTTTGAATACTTTTTGTTATATCAACCAAAATTTCCTTTGTACAACTAGAATATTGGGAAGTCTAAGAAAATGTTGTTTATGCTATTTTGTTCAAACAAGCTTCGGAAAGATATTTTATTTCATTCTCAAGAAATGGTAAAAAGGAACAAAAAACAATTGCACTAAAAAAAAATGTTAGCAAAAACAGTTATATAAAATATATATGAATTATTTTCGCATTAAATTGTTGCCAATCAGTCAACATTACATAAAGGACCGTGTTTTTACAGAGTGTTTTCATTGTTGAATTCAATTCTCCATATCGATACCAATCCCTTTGCCATTTATTTATTTGACTATTTGTCTGACAAACAACCCTCTCCAACTGTGATTACCACCGTCTCTTCAGGTCTTGGCATTCTGATTTATCAGTCTCCCTTTCATCTAAAAGCTTGTGGGAGACTCAGATTGATTCCAATGGATAAATCAATCAGTGCATTCCACAATTGGACAATGCAATTCCTTCGTCATTGATGGGAAGGACATGTGGATCAATGAATGCGTTGCCAATGACAATGCTAGTGTAGTAGGCCTTCTATATAACAGCCAAGTTTATCCTGATCATTCGATTACCTAATGGATACGGAACAGAGGATAGATTAGTGGTGTCACTTTACAGCTTGGACGTCGACCGGTTAAACGGGGTTTTAACCGGTCAAGTCAGTTTATTGACTGTCATTTTCACTTGATGATTACAAAGAAATCTTAAAGTTGAAAAAAATGTTTGAAATTTCATTTTTACATATGTCAGCTTTACTGTTTTGTTTTCGCAGCTAGTGAAATTAGGGCATGTCTAGTTATGAGAGATAATAAGAATGTCAAATCAGTCCTAGAGGAACAGGCAAATTAGCCTAAATGCGAACAAAGCAAGGGACACGAGATTCGACATCAAAATGGTCACAGATTTTTATTAAATTCCCATTTTCTTGAATAATATTTAATTTTTTTCTTCACAGTTTTTACCCCTAAAACACATTTTGACACCTATTTCTTCTTGTTAAATCTGAGTATAAATCAAGGAACCCTTTACCTTTCAATAAGTAAACATGAACTACCTGCTCGTCAAAATATAATATGTATTTATATTTTCAACGCTCTGATTCTAATCTAAATAAAAATCCAACCATAACAAACGCTTAATACAGTGAAACCTTTCTTAGAACACCTCTCTCTAGTGAACACCTGTCTCTAGTGGACACCCTTCATCTGTACATACTCCACTGACATCTGTTTAAATTGCCCTCTCTGTAGTGAACACCTACCAACATTGAACGTTTCATCTTGATAGAAAAATGTTCAATATGTACACAGGTTTTACTGAAGATATAATTTCACTCAATTAATCCTACATAACGCTACCCTTTGCATTTGTTTGACTTCACTTCTTAAAAGAGAGCTTCGTTTTCAGTTTAACTAGACTCTGCACGCAGGGTAACATAACGCTGGAAATCCGAAGCGATTGCATCTTTAGTTTCAAATTTTGAGCAATATCATAACAATACATACTCATACTAGTATAGTGTATCAGATGAAGTGAATTCGATTTGTTCGTTCTGGTTGTTTTTTTCATTTATCAATAGACATACAGAAGAAATCATTTTCTGTCTTAAAGCTATGTTCACACCAACGGCGAATGCCACGCTTTAAATCGGCAAGCAAAGCGCCGTCATTTCTGTTTACTTTTCCAAAAATATCACGATCTCCCAAGTAATGTTACGCTCTGATAAGCTCTGATTTCCCGACTTGTTACGGTTACTCACGCTTTGATCCCGTTTCGATCAGGCTTTGTTACGCTTGAAATCACGCTTTGACAAGCTTTGATAAGAATTATTACGCTTTGATGCAATTATGACGCTTTAAATTAGGCTCTGATACGATTGCCAAGCTCTGTTATGCATTGTTACGCTCTGTTAAGAGATCGCCGATTTCATGCTGCTTTTGATCAAATGACTATATAAAGATGCAGTTAATCCATAAAACCATATTTGACTCGAGAACACGATGGCAGAACAACAAGATCCAGAAATTCCAGATGGTCCAGAGCATGACCTATCTAAAGAAGACATGATGTTTGTCGCACGGCGTCAAAGAGCGTGAGGAAGCTTGTCAAGCGTAACAAAGCCTAACAAAGCGTTTCAATCCTTGATTAAAGCGTCTCAATTCGTTGGAAAGCTTGAGAGTCCTTTGTGAAAGCGTACCAAAGAGTGTCAGATATTGATTAAAGCGTCTGACCTCGTGTCAGATCTTCATGCCAGACCGTAGCAAAGCTTGAGACATCTTAACGAAGCCTGTCAAGTGGTAACAGACCGTGAAGAGACTGGGGTCCCCGCTTTGAACCAAGCTCTGTTAAGCTTTCCTACGCTTTGGGTCAAGCGTTGCTGAGCTTTGTTACGGTTTATTAAGCTTTAATACGCTCTCGGCGCTTTAATCGATTCGTAACAGAGCGCCCAAAATTTTTAAACAGTTTAAAATTTTTGGGCGCTCTTGCCGAATATCCCGCTTTGCTCCGAGCTTTTCTACGACCTATTACGACCCCGACGCTTAAATCAAGCTTTGTTACGCTTTGATGCCGCTTTACAAGTCGCTTTAAAGCGCCATCAAAGCGCCGTTGGTGTGAACGTAGTTTTAATACACAAAACACGAGTCTTAGCATTTGCAACACATGAATGAATGTTGGACACAGACGCAAATAGTTTACAGTGGCATCTATCAATTGCTCGAGTATTGCTCTGTATGAAATAGACAAGGATTTCCGTCGCATCATGCATCAATATGGCGCAATCTTCATTACAAATACAGCTCTTTCTTGAAAACCCTTTTGCTATGGCTTCGTGGACACGTGGGACTTTCAAGCATGCAGCCCTCAAAGAGCACTTGTCTTACTTTTTGTCCTCTTGTCTTTCTCTACTGAAAATGTATGTGGTGTGGTGCAAAGCATGGGGATGAGAGACTTGGCACAAGATTGGAAGAAATCGCCACATTTAAAAGCGTTCGCTAAAACAAAACAAAATAAAACAGCGGTTTCTATATTTTAACTTCACAAAAGTGTCCCTTAATTTGAAGAAGGATCGTATAGCTTATATATTTTAAAACAAATTATCGTAAACATTCAAATCGAACTTGACAATATACATTGATAGTTGGATTTAAGTTCCTAAGAGGACAAGTATGTTCAACATAACTTTTAGTCGATGTGTCATTTTCTGAACCTTTGAATTTGTAAAATCACGATGTTTTATTGTGGAATCATTATCATAAAGGTTTTATGAAGTGATTTAGCTTGGTTGGAAAAATGGCAACCTTGGGGAAAAACTATATGCAAATGAAGGTGTCCATTATATACAGGGTGTCAAATAAGTCCCGTCCCCCCTCTACAGCCTAAACCAAGATATATGGTACCAAGTGTGATATGTCATCGGAAAGGTCTTCCAAAGTTACGTTGATTGGCATATATCTGACACATGTCAATCAGTCTCACAAATCTTTACATTGTATCAATTGAGGTGACCATAAGCCTAGAAACATGGCAATTTGGCGTATTTGGCGGCATTTTAAGAATCTGGTATAAGAAAAGGACTAAAGATGACTAAATATATATATGGCAATGGATTTAACCAATTTCTGGATAGGGTTAGATGTGTACAAAATAGAGGTGCTAGTAAAAATGGTGAAAACCTTTTTGTAACAAGTGGAATGCGAAAAAGATTAACTTTCTGACGTATTTCTGAGGTCATATCCTTCTCATATTGACGCAATAAAAGCCGCTTAAGGAGGGTACACTTACTATAAAGGACATCATGAACAAAAGAACATATAGTTAAATTTCATACAAAAGACTTGAGAGTTGGTGAGTTAACATAACTTTGGAGGATCTTAAAAAACATGGACCTCTTGGGATAAAGGTTCATGCTCGAAATAACGACCAAGGACGTAATTCGATCGAGCAAGGTCTGTCTGCGAACGAAACAGAATGGCCGTCAAAACTATTTTGAACAGGCTCGAAGTTCAGGAGCACCTTCCCGTTGTAGCACATTTGTGAAGTTCGTAAAAATATCCGGTTAATGTACGGTTAATCCGTTTGCATATGTTTACATCCGTCGGCAAACTATTTTCAGACCGTACATGTATTGACAACTATTTAGAATTAAAGTGACTGTGGATAGGGTTCCGACAGGTTATGCCATTATGTACTTGAATGACCAAATACATTAAATACAAAATAATCATGTTGTTGCTTTTTCACAGGTTTATTCACAGATCACTCCTGCCACCTTTCGACCGTTGCAGTTTTTCCAATCAATATATATTTTATCATACATATAATGAGATGAATCAATGCAGATAGGGTAATTTAGTTCAGATAAATCGTTATTGCCATAATTAAAGTTGCATTGGCCAATATGACGCTCGTTTCCAGTACATTGTACATCATCAATGAATGATAAATCATTCCTCCACGTAATTGGAACTTTCCTTTCATATGTTGAAACTTTTCCATATGGTAGACCAAGTTGTTGACAAATAACCTTGGCTTCATTCATACCCCATGTTGAGGAGCATACCTTTCTCCACATGTCACCAACATGAATCTCAACCAGTCCTGAGTTTGCCGTTTTTCTACGTTTCAGTCGAACATTTACCTCTTCGCATATGACACTTGCCCTTGTTGCATCAGGACATGATGCATTTTCACCATAGTTGAATGAACAGTCAGCTAGATTGTATTCATCACCATTGCAGACAACATCACTCATATAAATATTGATACTCGGTGTACGATTTTTAACATCATCATAGTCGTAGTCATCATAGCAAGGATACTTGGAGAATGTATCAATTGCAGCATCCTTTGGATCAAATCCTGATGATGTATCAAAAAATATTTTATAATTCAATAAATAGGTCATTGTTTAATGTACTTGTATATTAACATCCTAGATAAGCATAGGGAATATAATGAATACATTACCTTGCTGTCGACATGCAACTTTTGCTTCGCTGACGCTCCATCCAGTTGAACAAATATAAAAATTATCATATGAAGATTTATCTGGAACATCAATTTTGAGAACTCCATCTGCCAGGGCATAGTGCCGAAAGTCAGATTCTTGCCCTTCAAAGTCAACGAAATTGGTTAATTCTGAAATAGAATATCAATATGGATTATAACTTAAACGGGGAAAGCGTGAGTTCTGGAGTTACTACGATGGACCTTACGAAGGACCGTAATTTGAGACTGGATCTTCATAGTTTATGCGTAATCTTCAAGGCTAGTTTTGGTGGAGAAAATAATTTTAATTTTTTTCTCATTGGATGATGTTTAAGACTAGTTGCACTTTTTGTAAAGTATGGTTTCTGTGTTTCTAAATACTTTGGTCACTTGCATGTATTACCCCGCACCTCAAATATGGAAAGAATTCCAGTCCAATTTAACATGACATTACCTGGTTCTTGGTCAAAGCAGGAAATGAAGTACATGTTGTAATCATCACAATGCGCTCTCGTAACATTACACATCTGAAGGGCATCATATTCCTCACATAAAAGTGAAATGCCTTTGGTCATTCGGTCTTGTTTTTTCTCTTGGTTGAATGAACCATACGTTCCGACTTTGCTATTATTGTACCCCAAGGTGAAGCACGTCGATTCTGCCAATCTCTTGCTTCGGTATGAGTAGATGGACTCTCTTTCACCGATACAAACCTTGTTCCATGTTTTCTTATACCATACTTCAAGTTGACCAGTTGTATTGCTCTGGCCTCCAATTAATCGAGGCCTCATCGATGTATCGACGCATGATATCTGTATTCCGTTTGACCCACACTCTAACGCGCGTTCCTTATGCCAAGTACTTGCACTACCGTACAGCGCCGTCCATTTAGTATAAGAACATTTTCTCAGACTTTTCTCGGTTCCATTGCAGTTTATATTTGTTATAATTTGCCTATTGTAGTCCATATAGTTATCTATTTTATATGATTTAAGAGTGAAGCCAAACTGAGCTTTAAAGCCCAGTTGTTTGCAAACAACCTGAGAAGCCCCTTTTGTCCAGTAGATGCCACAAACAGGGAACCATTCACCTAAACTGTCTTTCACTTGGAGTTGACCAGAGGAACCATCTTTTAGACGGATCTGATTATTTAGATTCGGATCTAATAGAAAATTAAACCAGTACATCAATTCAATTAATAAATTCAAAATTAAAGGATTGGTATCGATATGGCGAATATTGTTTTTTGTGAAACCAATTATTGAAAACTTCCTGTATAAAAAACACTGTCCTTAATGTAATGATCACTGATAGACAACAATTTGATGCGAAAATTATTTACCGTATATATATGTCATTTTGTCCCAATGAGGTTCGGATAGATTCATGATACCGAGGACAAAAGAAGTGTCTGATGTGTTATATCTAAAACATTATAGAGAAAAATATATGTATTTTTCCCAAATTAAATTGTTAACATTCAAAAGATGATCATTAAATTGATGTGTAAAGTTTTCAAATTTTGGATTACTGGTTTAAGAGAAACATGTGTTCAATTCAGTTCGCCATATCGATACCAATTCTTTCCTTATTTATGTTATAACGATGCGAATACGATGTGATGTTGAAGAAAAATCAATTTTCAATCAATATTGTATCCATGAAAAAAGCGTCCATTAGTCTTATTGATAACCCCTCGTACTACATGAAATATTACATGAATTATTATTTAGTCTTAAACGTACCACTGAATAATTCACTTTTACATGAGACCCAAGCTTCCAAATGGTCATCATGTTCAGTAGAGCATTTTCCAATTGATTGTATGCATTGACCTTGATCGAAGTAGGGGGTACAACTCACGATATGTATGTCTAATATGTTCTTGTTTTTCGGCAAAATAGGAATACTTTCTACAGGTTGAGCAAATTTCCAATTCACGCCTAGCTGTTGACAAACTTCCACTGCGCTCTTTGGATTAAGAGTTCGGCAAATGGAATGCCATATTCCATTACGTAAGACTTCTATTCTGCCAACCATTGATCTGTGCCCATTTTCAACCAATCGCAATTTAAATTTACACGTCACATGTAAGTCGTTCCCTTCGAGGTAAACCCTTATGCGATTGTAGCTGTCAGACCTTTGTAAAGAGCTCTGTCCGCAATCCTTTATTCTGGTTTCATTGCCTAGTAAAATGCATGGATATAATAGTCGCCAATAAAGTGCTTGAGAGTGTCATAGAGGTATAAATGCCTAAATTATATATAAAAAAAGTTGTTATTTTGTTGTTAATTAACTAATAGAAAATTCAAATTGTCTCTATATTTATAGTAAATGATTATTTACCTGTGCAGTTAAAGAATTTTTTAAATGTTGGAGATTTTCTTGTATAATCTTTAGGGGGTAGCATTTTAAAAGCATTATTTGGGTTAAAGCCCAATTGTTTACACGCGACTTTATAAAAGTTTCCTGTTGTAATTCGACTCACTCCTCCCCAGTATCCGTAGTTCTTGATTTCCACTTTGCCGCTGTAACCACTTGTGCCAACAATTCGAACATCTGTTGCAATCTCTTGAGTTAATAGAATATGAAAATATTACTTTACTTGATATACTTTTCAGTTCAAAAATGCATAAAAAGTAGCTGTGTATGCCCAAAATCTCGGGCTATTTCACTACCGAAAACTTTTGTAAAAATATTCAATCAAATTCAATATTTAGCTGCTACACTGCAGTGACGGTTATAGTATAGATGAATACCAAACTTGGCAAATGCTACATATTTTTCGGAAGTTGACAATTTAAAATAAAAGAAGAGATTATCTGTATGTATTTTTAAATTACTAAATTTGACCATATCAAAACATTTCTCCATGTTTTGCTTAATATAGATAGTATATAAAATGGTTATAGCTACTATATTAAGAGAGAAGGTACGCAAGGAATTGCCTAGCTTAAAGGTTCTTCTAAAGCTTCTTCATCAATAGTTGCATGTGTATGACGTTGGGTTACATCCCGGGGTTACCTGTTTGAGGTCTGCGACATATCAGGCTTACATATTCCCCATTGACACATTTGGGATCCACGCGTGCTTTTATTTGCAGTCCGTCCCAGAGATGTGAATTGCTAGCGATGAAAATTGTGTAAGTATCCTGGCCTCCTTGTGCTGTAACGAGGAAACGAAATGACCAAATCGGTGTATTCATTGGCGAGAGAGGTCCAAATGCACTTAATCCAACACGGTAAGCATCCTTTGGGGTAACCCCAGCCATCTCACAGAGGGTGTTTATAATGAAGTCATGATGGTACCAAAGATATGTGTCATAAGGTTGGTAATAGCAAACAGGTCGCCATGCTCCTTCATAGAATATCTCCAGTCTTCCCGAAGTTCTTATAGGACCTCCGACTAGTCTTATTCGAGGCTTGCAAACAGCTACTGCATCACCTGGGAACTGTATGGGAGAAAGGGGTCAGGTTCCCGTGTGAAATGAATCATCGAAATTAATTTTCAAAAAAGTTTTTTATAGGTTAAGAATTATCACATTTACATTTTTACAGGCTACAAACTTCCGCAATTTTATGACTGAGAGAAATATTATTGGATCTTCGAATTCTAAAATGAAGGCTTTCACACCTTTTCCCTCGACTTGCATTGCTCGTCGCCTCCTACAACATGTCCGCAATCTTTCAAAGAATCTTCAGTTCCGTTGCAGTCTACATTTGTAAGCGAGTATTCCCGTTCACCTCTACCGTCTATAGGATTAATGACAACATTTACACATCTTCGTAATCATTTAATTAATCAGAGATATATAATTATATTATAATTATCATATGTCTCTGATTTATATAATGTACCATTCTTGTAGGCATGGGCTAGCATATAATCTATCAATATACATGTATTAGGTGAGTGGGTACTTTCAGACAATTTAAGGCCCAGTTTCGAAACATTGAGCGATACCGATACCGTATCACAGTTGGATATCACTTAATTGGGAGTTTAAGCTTGCACTGTTTTCCACTACCTAAACGCGAACGTAAGTTACTGAAGCGATGCAGTTGTATGGGCATACGTATGGGTTGGCGTTTCGATTTTATATGCAAGCTTAAGCTTAAACTCCCTAAGATCATCTTTTGAAAGAATAAAGCCAAATATTTTTTGTTTGGAGTTCACATACACGTATAACAATATAGCTACTGTTACCAATGAGTTGTTATAATAGGATTTTATTAGTACTGATGCCCTTTTAGGACCAAACGTACATCCGATATACAATTTTCAATAACAGTAAATATAGCAATAAAGTAAAGAAAATAGCACGGACCGGTCCTATTGCCCCGAACCGGTCCGTCTTCTCGCTGCAAGCAGGAGGAAATTCTTTGTCACAAAGTTTGGCATTTTTTATAAAATCAAACGCGCGTCATTGAAACTCACAAGTTGTAAATAGCATGTCATTTACATCATACCTTGATGGGGAAAAATAGATCTTATATGATAGAAGTACTAGATAAAAGTTATCGTGAAAATGAGACAGTCGTTCTCGAGAGAAAAGAGCATAAATGTGCATTTAGAGAGTTTTGGTCCGTTTAAAAATCTGTAAAAAATTGGGGTACTTAAAAGCATCGGGAGGCATCATATATTCCAAATTAGACACGAAGAAGTCAATATTGAGCAAGTTATGGCTGTTTTAAATTCAAATAAAACCGTTAACCCGTACCGGTCCAGCTTTTGACCCGTACCGGTCAATTTTCGTTAGCTGCGTATACCAAGGGTGAATAGGATAACATTCTTCAAATGACATATAAAATGTTACTTTGATATAAGAATCCTGTCCCTACCAATCATTAGATACTTTATCATGTCAGCAGATTCTTTTAATCAAGAACGATTTCAAGAAAACTGTAGTAGTTATCTTACACCATCTAAAACCAACGATAGAGTTCAAGTTGCTATCGTGGAATCCCAGTTGTCTGCACACAACCCCAACATCGTTCACATCCCAGCCAGCATTGCATATTCCTCCCCATGAACCGTTCAAGTAAACTTCAACCCGTCCTTCATTCTCATCTCCACCAGATAATCGTACGTCATAGTGTTCGTTCAAGGTCTTCCCTAAAATTAGAAAAACACCAGTCTCCCGTTCCCATATTGAGGTTCAATTTTAAATTTGGCTGAAGAGTCCATATGATCCATCCTCCAAACACAGGCATCCAGAAGTCGTACCTCCTTCTTCCAAGAAGAGAGGAACTTAGTGGATGATGTCTGGAACCCAGCGTTCGGAGGATAATATGACCTAGAGCGAAACATCGCTCCATAACAGTTCTCGTACAAGATGGAGCATTAAGTCTCAAATGATGTGGGACATACCCTTTGCATTCGTTTGACTTCACTTCTTAAAAGAGAGCTTCGTCTTAACTAGACTCTGCACGCAGGGTATGTGGGACAGAGACAAACCCCGACTTCTCTGGTTAGATCTAACTATACTGTTGATGACCATGATGTCATGTTCTGACCATGATATCATGCTGTCATGAATATACCAATAACCTCATTTCAGCAGTCAACATATAATAATGTGATAATTTGGCCCAGGGTCGAGATTTCAATTATGTTGCCCCTGAAATGAGATTAATAGTTTAAGTTTAAAATATTTTATTTCTGTGTCACAGGTTTAAAAACTACATTCAATATCATATAATAAATACTTTTTTTAAAAAACCCACCAGCCGGCATCGGCTTAGGAGACACCATTAAATGTATATCTAATTGTAATTGAATATTGACTAGAGTAAGTTGACTTAATAGAGCACTCTTAGATAGAGTAGTACTCAAGTGCTGCCATCTTTAAATGCTTTGACAAATATTTTCTATTAATGGCCATTATCACAATAAATGAATATGCATGCATAAATAAACTGTATTGATACAATAAATTTTGTAGTCAAGTGCTGGAAAATGACTATAACAGATTGGGGACACACACCTGCTGCCCAGTTATATCTTTAATTCTAAAAAAGTATCAGTTTTAACTTAGTCTGGACTTCACAAATGTAACTCCTATAATCTGCCATAGTCAAATTGCCTTTTTGAATACATATTATGAATAAGAGCTGCTAGAGGTTTTTGAATCTTCTTGGCAAGCATTAGGCTAATAAATGTCAAAAGTGAATTTGCATTATTCAAGTCTATATATGGCAATTGCTCTTGCACAATCTCTCTATAGAAGGTATCCCTTAGGAGCTTATAGTGTGGACATTTTATCAGAAAATGAATTTCATTTTCAACTTCATCCAAATCACAGAGTTTGCAAGTTCTCTGGTCCAGAGGAGTACCATCATATCTACCAGTTTCTATACGGAGTTGTAGCGTCCCAGTTCTCAGTTTAGCCAATGCACTTCGATGGTGTCTTGGGATGAAACAAGTTACATAACTTTCTGCTACTACTCCATACTTAAATTGCCTGAAAGTTCTTAATTTATTACCATTCACTTCATTGTTTTTGTCATTCCAAATGTTTTTTAGAAAGGGATCTTGAGATTGTTGATAAAGCTTGACCTCTTCTAAAATAGCTTTAGCATTTAAGTTTTCCATTTGAGTTATATTCCCTTGGCCTGATGCCTCTAAGAACTTGTAGACTCTGTAGTCCCAACTATTTTTACGTCTTAAGGACCAATGATGTATTTTTGAGTTTAACCTATCTTTGTCCAAAGGACGATTCTCGGTTTGGAGAACGAAGTTCATCAATCTAAATGAGCATTATCCCTGCTTCGGACAAATTTGATTTTTTTACATAATATAGATTTGAATGTCTTCTTTTGAATAGTTATAATTTAATTTGGGTAATATTTTTAGATTTTTCGCAAAAAGATATTAGCGCAGTACACTGATGAACTTCTTTCCCCAAAATCGAGATTTGTATTTTATTGAATCAGTCTAATTGAGTGTTATCCCTGCTTCAGACCAATTTGTTATTTTTACATCTTGTAGATTTAAATGTCCTCTTTTGAAATTTCTATATTTTTCATGAAAAAAATTATTAGCCCCGGAGACTGTTCTCCAAACCGAGAATCGTCCTTTTGCAGGCGTATAAAAAGACGTGCACTCTCTATCTGTTGTTTGTGAAGTGGTAAGTCCCATCCAAGGTCAGCTCGAGCTGCTTCGTTGTTTGTTTTGACACCGACACCAAGAAAGAATTTTGATGCCTTATTTTGGACTGCATTTATACACTTGTGCTCATTATTACCTATCAATGAACAGCCATAGTTGATCACAGGTTGCACTAAAGTGTCATATAATTTGCTGTAAACAGTTATATCCATGCCTCCAGTTTGTTGGAATTTTGACATTATTACACATAAAGCACGACTTGCAGACTTAGCAATTTCCTTTGCTGTTATTTGAGGGTTGACATGCTCTTCAAGCCATACTCCCAAGTATTTATATTTTTCAGTATATTCTATTGATTTTATTCCACATTTAAATTGATATGTAGATCTTGGTTTAGAGGTTGGCCTGTAGTGAACGATTTTAGTTTTTTTCTGACCTATGCTGAGTCTCCATTTCCTACACCACTGGTTTACAACATTAAGCATGCGCTGAAGATCTTGAGGGGTCTCCGCTATCAAAGCAATGTCGTCGGCATACATGAGTATACACACTTTTTCGTTGTTAATTGTGACCCCACAATTTAAACTTTTTATTTCTTCAGCTATGGAGTCTACATAGATCGAAAAAATCGTGGGCGATAATAGACATCCTTCCTTCGTACCAGACTAATGCCTTGGTCACATAGGCTCCGATTTTCACTACGGCGCCCGGCCGATGAGTATTTTGTTCGAAATCGGCCGGCGAGCCCGGGCATCGTACGGGCGCCGGGCGATGATCGCCACTCATCGGCCGATTTTTAGACATCGTACGGGCGCCGGCAGAGTTTTATCGCGGAGATAAAAGTTGCCGATGTCTTGGCGATTTTTTCTCAACCAAACTCATCGGTACCTACCCGGCCGTGTTCCGCCCGGTCATCGTACGATTATCTTACGGCGCCCGGTGGCATCGCACGGTCATCTTGGGATTTTGCGTGCTGATTTGTTTGATAAATCTTAATAATGATTACTAAAAAAGTGATACAAAGGTTTTAAAAAGAATGAGGTAAGGAATAATAATTACTACACACTGTCAGAGATTTTTTATAAAACATAAATGGAACGATAAGGCTTACTGTAAAACAATGACACACATTTGAATGGCTGGGTGGGTGGGTTGATCTAGTCGTATATTTATTCATGCATGTACAGTACCTTTACAAATCATTTATTTTAAAAATCTTCTGAATGTTTTTGTGAGTACAGTATTTTCAAGGGTCACAATTTTAATACGAAAGTTCACTGTCTCAATTACAGTTAATATGCCAAAGGCTTTAGGATAGAGGGGATAAGGCCAATGGGCCATATATGAGGAAGGCCTTGGGAAGACAGGTGGAAAAAGACAATAACAATGCTAGTGAGCTGTTAAGTTGTTCTGTACGGGATATTTTCTCATCTGTCCATCATCGCGCACTTTGATGTTCCACTTTATTATGGTTTGTGGTTTACATTTTTTGAGTGTTTTATACTTGCCTAGGACTATCTTCTGTGATTTTTCAATGGTCAAAAATATTTTCGAAAGTGGGGCAAAACGGCCCATGGGTGGGGCAAAACGGCCCACCCTCTGTTACATGAGTTTTAAAACCAAAATTAATCGATTACAAGACTCATCCACACACATCTTATCTCAGACGTTCAAACCTTTGACAGATGAAGTATTCTTAACCCCTACCATAATTCTAGTCATTCTATATGTGTCGGAAGGAAATAAGGTACAAACCAAATGTTAAAATCGTTATGTTTGAAAATCAATTGTTCTTGTACAATAAGAATTTTGTATGTTATAACATATGTGGGCCGTTTTGCCCCAAAGACATGTGAATTTTCAAATAGACGTCATTTTAATTTACCTAATATTTGAAGCTCGAAATTTTTACAAATAAAGAGTAAATATGCATACTATGTGTAAAATGTTAAACCAAAACCATATTCTATTGTTGCCGGATTTTTTTAGAGATACTCGTTGGAGGAGTAATTTGCAAAAAAGAGAGTGAAAAGTAGAATTACCTCTTACTGCTTACGTAAAGCGAGACGCTGCTTGGTTAAAAAGGGGAGGTGGAGAAGGTTGCGGAAATTTCAAAATTCGATTATGTGACTTTTGAAGAACCATCTTTTTATAGTTCAAAATATATTTCGATGGGCCACTTTGCCCCAGGGGGCCGTTTTGCACCATGTTCCCTTACTCCACTTGAAATAGAAGAAAAAATTGCCAATTTCTTTGAAGATAGGCCATATTTTTATGACCAAACAAATTCTCTTTACGAGAACAGACAAAAGAAAGATGCAGAAATAGGGGATTTTGCTAATAGCATAGGATGGACAGGGAGTAGACATAGTATTTGTTTATATGAAAGATCTAAAAATGAATTAAGGTCAGGGTGCACTTTGATGAAAAGACCACGTGTAGTATGGCAAGTGATTTAAGACGGTCATATCTTTCACCATGAGTACTTTCTGGGCATAAATACAGTGTTTTTATTAAAACAATATGTTTTCTTTCAATTGAAGTACCCGTGATAGTAAAAATATCAATCAAACAATTTGAAAAATTATGAATAGGGACCCCATGTCAGCTTTTTTTCTAAATATTGAACCTATTTACTCAAAAGAGGATCTTCTTTCTCTGATTTTTATTGCATGAAAACGTTATTATCCTGGAAGTCCTGTCTATCGAAGTATTTCGTTTTCAAATCTTGCATTCACGCCATGTGGAACAGTCATAATGGGTCATACAAGAATTTAGTATAAATCTAGAGGCCTGTAGATCGACCGATGTCCTGGCGGGTGCCGTACGGCCATCGGCAGATCGCCTTGCGATACCCGTGCGATGTCTTTCAGATTCAATTGATTGCGGGCGCCGTACGATGCCTGTACTAATGTGACCATACTCACGATTAGATCAAGACATCGGTGAAAAGTCACCGGCGCCCGGTCGATTTAGAAATCGGCCGATGACTACTCATCGGCCGGC